TAGCAGTGTTCCTGCTGCTGCTGCTTCTTCCTGACGCGAGCAATTAAAAGCTCTCTTTCTCGCATTAATTGCCATTATATGCTCAGTCCTTTTCTTACTAAACGCCACCAGTCGACAAGTTTCCCGCTATGAAACAGTGGGTGAAAAATACTACTGAAGCCCAGCTGTACAGCATGCGACTACTTTATTGCTGCCGAAAAGTGTGGCAAACGTTAACTGTCTGTCAAAAAACAGCAGCAGTGCTACTTGGTAAATACTCTGCCGTCCTATTTTATTGCGCTCAGAACAGTGTGTCTTTTTCTGTGCACACTTACTACTCTTACACATTCAGATGTGTGTATGCACAAAAACACACACTGGCTGCAGCAAATAAAAGGGGGGCAAAGTGAAAGGCACAAAGAATTGGAAGCAACGAAGATGAGCCAAAAGCACAAACACTGCTGCTGCTTCTGGCACAAGAAAGGTAAACAACAGTGTCATCATCAACAACATTGGAAAGAAAGGTAAATTGTGACAGTGTAAAACATCAAAAGGATGATTGGTTGTGTGCGTTGAGCATATTCAGCGTGATTGCACCACCAGCAGCGACATCAAGCTCAGAAGTAGTAGTAGTAAAGTTGAAGTTAAAAAATGGAGAAAGAGTAGTAGCTGCAGAAGACTGCCCTGGACAGAAAAGAAGACACTTGTGAAGGTGGGGGCAACTGCTTTGCACAGCGCGAGCATTGGGGGTGCACTGATTTAGTGATTTGGTGTGTGTGTGCATTGAAGGCATTGAATTTGGTGTGCGATGATGTGAGAATCAGTGAGTGAGTGAGTGAGTGATTGTTTCGGCTTTGGATATGCTCATTTGGGCACTTTTGGGAATTGTGATTGAAGTCTCTGAAATGAAATGCGACTGGTCAACTGCTTCCGCCACCACCGCTGCTGATGATCGTCTTTGCACGGGCCACCACGTGCGAGTACTCAATCGAGTCGGGAAAGCTCTGCAGGAGCTTAATGTTGGACGCAAAGTCGCCTGACATCAGGTCATCGCGTAGAATGCTGATTGTGCATGCAGTGTACTTATGATTAGCATTCAACAAACCAAAACAAAGCAAAAAAATCAACTTACAGAATCATTGAGCAGCACAGTTTGAGGAGAAACTCGAATCGATGCTCATCGGAGAAGAGGTAGTCCCATAACCTTAAAACATCTGCGGCCAAAAACGAAAAAAACATCAGTACGTTTTGTATGCCTTTTTGTTTGTGTTTGCAAAGCTGTGTCTACAGAAAACCAGAACAGAACAAAACAGAACTGCTGACGTACCTGGCAATGAAAACTCCTGCGAGAGCATCAGTGTGATCCACCGGAAGGCGTAGTAGTGCGGCTTGATGCCCTGCTTCAGGTTGATTTGCTGCGCCAGCTCGTAGTCCTCCTTCGAGAGAATGCCCAGAAGGCGATTCATCAGACTGACAATGCCTAGGGAAGAGGAAAGATAGAAAGAAAGTGGTAATTGGGGTAATACAAAAACCAAAACTGTGTTTTCAGCACCACCACCAACCTGTTGCTCGGTCCGAGTCGGCGTGCTTATTGAAGATGTCCCGAATTTCGCTCATTAAGCTCGTGAAGCACCAGAAGGTGTCCGCCTCGGTGTGATCTACCAAAATAAAAGATTAGCACAAAAAGTTGGGTTCACTTAAAGCTACAGCTTCAGCTTCACCAACTTACCACTCCAGTTGTCCTTTGGATCGTTGGCAAAAACGTAGTACAGTGGACCGACGATCTCATTCATGCCTTGCACATAGCCCTGGCCGGGGTTCAGCTTTGCGTAGATGAAGAGAATGCGGGCGACGATTTGCCTGTGAGAAATAGGGGTAAAATTTCAGTTATAAAAAACGGTCAAACAGAAACAGCCAAACAGCATTATCAACATTACCAGTGAAACTCCTCGCCGTTGATGGAGCCATCTTCGCCGGTGGCCGCTGACGCCGCCGCCTTCTCCTCTTCAGGATGATTCACATTGGCAAATGACTTGTTCTTCCGCACTTCAGTCATTCCGAAGCAGTCCTTGACCACGTCCACACTTTGGGCGGTGTTGTTCATTCGCTCTGTTGCAGCATCATCATCAATGTCGCCAAATGTGCAAAAGTGATACAAAAAAAGTGAAAGCAATCGATCAAGTTAAGTAGAATTGATGACGCACTCTCTTTCTCCTTCTCTTTCTCGCCCTTACCCATTACGTCGCTGTGCGTTGAGCTAAACTTTCTGGCAATCTTCTGCTGAAAGAAGGACATGTCAGGGTAGAGACGGCGTACGTCCTTGTCACTGAAGTCAGGTGTTAATTAGTCAAAACTTTCAATGAGTCAGTTTCAATAAGCGCCTACATTTGAGTGAGGATTTCGTTTTCTTTAAAGTAGGACTTCCACTGGCTGTTTGGGTCGGTGTTTAGCGGCTGAAAGGAAGGAAAAACAAAGTTCAGAAAAAACCAAAAACAACACAGAAATTTGCATACATGGTCGTCATGAGCAGGGCCAAGCTTTCCGTCCTCCATGATCAGGTCGCGAACAAACTCGTGGTAGAGATGACGCTTCTCTTTCAGGCACGAACTCCACTCTTGGCGATCTTTTGGAAGGTAGCCTAGTAGAATCTGATAG